AATATCATTCTCATAAACTTGATTTCATTCTGAAAGAATGTGTGGGTGGGAGTGGCAGATAAGCGCAAGGAAGACAGCAGCAGGATGTGCCTGCTTGCGTCACTGTTACCTTGTGAAAGGTGAACGAGTCCATCTCATTAAACTACAGGTGATCAGAGCTCAGCCTATAAACGCACTGCTGTGGGGGCCTGCGGAAAGACTGGGTTGCTTTTTGCCTTTATTTCATGTATCTTAGACTGAAATTTTGCTAACATCAATAGATGATGGGAGTCCTGTGCTTTTAGCTCGTCTGCTACCCGCAGTCATCCTGCTAGTGACAGCTTTTGTTGAGGAACAACTTTCCACCCACTGCTTGATTTATCTCACTCAGCTTTATGGCCTGCATGTGTGTCTGTTTTCCTACAAATGACCCTGATTTGTCCTTCTTTATGGCTGAGTAGTAGTCCACTGTGTAAGCAGGTCACACTCTCCATGTACTCTTATTGCAAGCTTTCAGCAAGCCCAGGGGTGGCACGTTATTACTGCAATCCACCCAGAACACCGGGAGGCTGGGCAGAGGGGTGGAAAGTCGCAGCAGCTTGGGAGACCTTGTCTCAAAAACAAAACAAAATGGCTTGGGTGTAGCTTGGTGTGAAGGCCGTGGTCTCATTTCCTGCTAGAGCGAGGCTATTTCTTTCTTTCTTTTCTTTTTGTTTTGTATTTTAGGAAAGGCTCTAAAGGGTGTTCAGGGTCTCACTACTAGATTGGATTCAGGAGCGACCCACCTGTCTACAGCCTCCTACGAGCTGGGATTATAGGCACGCGCCACCATGCCCAGTCTCAAAACGGGGCTATTTCTTACAACACTAATATTTCCTGATATTCAAAAATTTATGAAATTCTACTAGAAGGCAGAAAATTAAAATTGTCTGCCCACGTCACTGTTCTAAGAGTTGTACTGAACCTGTTTGGGCTGTTGGAAGGGAATCCCTGGCTGATGGCATAAGCCACAGACAGGCATTCCTCACAGGTCTGGAGGCTGGAGCCTGAAACACAGCTGCCCAAGATGTGGCAGCCTCTGGGGTCCTGCCCTGTGGTTTGCTGAGGACGGCCACCTTCCTCCAGGGTTCCTCTGTGGTGGATGGGTAAAGCTGGCCGGAGGGCTCTGGAGGGCCCGGGTCCTACTCAGAAAGGCCCTGTCCTCACGACCCATCACCTCCCCGCTGCACTTCCTCACCCTGCCACCCTAAGCAAGGGCCACGCGCATTCTCAGTGGGTGGCAAGCAGACCGAGAGAAAATGTGGATGAGATGGATGGGCCGCACGTGTCCTATGGCCACACATGTGGCAAGGTCAGCATGAACGGCGGGGCAGAGAAGGCAGCGCCTACTTACATGTGCGAGAGATTCCCCAGAGGGTTGAACATCCTTTGCTGGATATTTGCAATTTCAATTCCTTCTAGGCTGCTAAAGTACCAAATTAACAATCAATAAAAGGAACATGCTATATGTGAAATAATAAAATAACTTTCCTTGAGGGAAAACTTCATAAAATGCTTTTCGATAACATTTATCTAGATGGAGTGCTCACGCCCGGCACTGGCGGCCTCCCCACTCCCTTTGTCCTTGTGCGATGCGCAAGCATCTCTCCCCTTCGGGATGTTCGGCTCCTCACGTCAAGGCACAAGTCAGAACGCACAGTGAAAAGTACTCAGTACGTATTTGTGGGGTGAGTGGATGAGTAATACCTTGGGACGTCACGACCATAGCAGAGTTTTACGTATCTTAAACTTCTCTAATCATTTTAAGTAAATTGTTTAATAAAATGAAATTTTGTTGAGAGAACTTTGAAATTAGATGAACTGAAACTTTTATCTTTTTAAAGATAAGCCTTAGACCACTAAAATGTCTTTATTCAAGTGAGTCTTGGGTTTCATAATACTGCATTTCAAGGTAAAAATGCCTCTAAGGAAAGCACAACACCGCAAAACTAATGGAGTCGTGAATATGCACAGTGACAACGTAAGTCCTGGGGAAGCCCCGAAAGACAGAAAATAACAATATTATTATTTGTTTAGTTTGTTAACATATAATATTAGCCAGGCCTGGGGGTGAACGCCTATAATCCCGGCACTCGGGAGGCTGAGGCAAGAGGACTGCTTTGAGTTTAAGGCTGGCCTGGGCTACAGAGTGAGCTCAAGACCAGCCTGAACTGCATAGCTGGACCCTGTCTCGAAAAGACAAAAACAAACACACAAACATGCAAAGGAAAAGCATGTGAGATGACAGTGGTAGTTGCTTACTTACAGGTCATCAAAAACACCTGTCTTGCTTGTTTTTGTGAATCTTGACTAATCTTTCTGTGAATCTTAACTAATGTCTTGGAAAGAAAGATTCTGATTTGAAAGCCTATAAAAAGTATTCATTGCTGGATTTGTAGCCCTCCCCCGTCCCTCCCTCTTGCCCTCCCTCCCTTTCTTCCTTTCTCCCTTCTTCCCTCCCTGTCCCTCTGCCTCTTTGCCTCCCTCCCCCCACTCTCTGTCTCCCTGTTCTCCCTTTCCCTTTTTTCTTTCTTCTTTTCTAGTATTGGTGATTGGAGCCAGGACCTCAGGTATGTTAGCTGAAAAACATATGTTAAACTATGTTAAACATATGTTATGGTTAAAAATACGTTTTTTTAAACAGAATCTCCTTATATAAACCAGGCTGGCCTCAAACACGAGATCTTCCCACCTCAGCCTCTTGTAGGAGAATTTATAGGCAAGTGTGACAATGGCTGGCCTGGAACAATAAAAATATTAGCACAGAATTACCCTATCCATGTATACTTACAGAGACTTTAGCTTGACAAGACAATCAAACTGATTTGCTTGAATTTTCCGGATTGGATTGTAGGAAATGTTCCTGTTTTTTTAGGAAGAAGAAATAGATCATTTTGAATTAATTTGAAACATTTATTTAAACAGCATACCATTTTTAGCTATGCATTTAACTCAAAATATATTCAAGATGTGTCAGCCCCGGCATGAAAACTACTGGAATGAAACACTCAGGGACAACGCTTCATGACACTGGTGCTGGTGACAATGGTGAGACACTTATCCCCAAAATCTATGCAACAAGAAATGGAAGTGGGAGTGTGGGACCCAATTAAACTAAAGAAGAAAGCTCTGCACCATGAAGGGAAAGTCAGCAGGGTGAAAAGACAATCCACGCAGCAGGAGGACAGGCTTTCAAAACACATATTTGAAGGGCTGGGGAGATGGCTCAGTAGAATAAGCACCCGCCTGGCAAGTGCAAGGTCCTGAGTTCAATCCCCAGTACCACAAAAACAAAAAACATAGTTGAGTAGGTGTTATTATTTAAAATGTATAAATAATTCAAACAGCTGGAGGTAATCTGGTTACGAGTGGGGGAGGGAAGGATCCGGATAGACATTACTCAAAAGAAGACACACAGATGTAACAGACATATTACAAATGGTTGATATCATTCATCATCGAAGCAATGCAAGTCAAAGACCACAGTTAGAGATCACCTCCCACAGTGACAATGGCTTTGTGACAAAGCTGAGTGGGACCAAGTCCTAGTGAAGACATTCAGAAAAGAAAATGCTATGAGATTATTTATAGGGAATAGTGTGGAGGTTGATAAAAATATAAAGACACATTTCTCACATGATTTTGAGCAACCCCACTATTGGAAACAAAACAACATAGATAAAAGTAAAATTGTAACTTTATTTACAGTGAGAGAATGTCTGAATCTTTCACCTCCGTCTGCATCGTCCACCTGCTTCCCAGAGTTTGGTAGGGGTACTAGGGACTGGCCCGAGAGCCTCTGCACCGAGCTACATCTGAGCCTTTGGGGGATTTTGAGACAGGGTTTTGCTGATTTGTTACATTGTCTAGGCTGGCTTTAAACTGACAATCCTACCTCAACTAGTCAGAGTGCTTACAGGTGTGTGTTATCACGTCAGACCAAAGTTCTATTTTTAAGAAATTTTCTCAGGCTTAGACATTAAGTGTCCATGTATTCATGTGTGTGTGCATTGTGTATGTGTGCACATGTGTGCATAGGTGTGTACATGTGTGCATGTGTGTGTACATGTGTGCATGTGTGTGTGTACACAGGGAAGACACTTCTGAGGGAGCTTGGTAATAGAAAGAAGGAAAGGAAGAATGATGATGAACAGAACAAGCCAACTAGGAAGAGAGAGAAGTGGCCTCACATGACCAAAGCAGGCCTAAACCCCACAGCTAGCATATGCATGGCATATTCATGGGGAGAGACCAAAACACCCCTAACGTCAGGCTGGATGCTTTTCCATTTCTGCTCCATACAGTGTAGGACATTCTAGCTGGAGCAATTAGAGATGAAAGAGAAAGGCACCCACATTGGAGGAGAGGAAAAATTATTTCCTTTCAGATATTGTAGTCCTATGTGTCAAAACCCCTAAGGATTTAACAAAAAATGATAGGATTAATAAATCCAGAAATGCTACTGAACAGAAAAATTCCTTGTATTTCTATACAGGACAACCAGTGGAAAACAATTACACTTACAATAATACTTAGAAGAAACTACTTAAATTAGCACTAAACAAGGAAGATGAAAAATATGTGCACTGGAAATTATGAATTACTACTGGAAGAAATCAGAAAAGCCATGTGCTGTGGTTCAATGTCCACACCAGGAACCAGACTGAAATTCACCATTGTGACAGTGCAAAAAGGCTGAAAACTAGGAGCAATGGGGCCGCCACGGCTTGGACTAGTGCTTCTACTGCAGGTGTGGGCTCCCGGGGGAAGGGTCAGAAGCCCAACCTGCCGGCTTCCGTCCAGCACCTCCTGCCTGGCGATGCCGTTC